TCAGATGCAGGTGCAGAATTGCGTTTATATTTTAATTAATTTTCATTTTATTTTAAATTAAAATGTAATTAAATTCATTTAAAAGGGTTTAGGACACAAACAGCTCCGCGGGGGCCCCCGGGGTGCTCGGGGGGCCCCGGGGGGGCCCCCGGGGGCCCCCCGGTGTGGTGTATGTACAGCTGGCTGCGCTGAGGGCTAAACTAAATAAAAGAATTATTTAAATTAATTTATTTATCTCCAAAACACGCATTTAGGGTTTAGGGTTTGCACTCGAGGGTCTAGGGTTTAGGGAAAAACACGAGTGGCACGAAAGAAGCTGCAGCTTCACTTAGGGTTTAGGGTTTAGGGTTTAGGGTTTAGCGGGCCAGAGTTAGTGAGCAGCAACCCCAAAAACGAACAGCAGCAGCAGCTGCTGCTGCACTACACGAGAGTCCCTCTTGAGTATCTATTTTAAAAGCGTTAGCTAGCTACCCAAACCCCCCAGGCCAGCTAGCTAGCTAGCTAGCTAGCTAGCTGGCTAGCTAGCTAGCTAACTGGCTAGCTGGTTGCATGTCGAGCTAAACTCCGAAGCTTTAGCAGCCAGACAGTCCCATTTTCACCCATATAGCGTGCCAGCTAGCTAGCTAGCTGGCTAGCTAGACAGCTGGCTAGCTAGCTAGCTGGCTAGCTTGCTAGCTGGCCACCTAGCTAGCTGGCTAGCTGACTAGCTAGATAGTTAGCTAGCTGTGTTACTTAGAATGCTCCCCACTCCCCTAGCGCTCCAGCTAGCTAGACTACCACAAGGATCTGGCCAGCTAGCCACCCGGCTACCTAGCCAGTTACTCGCTAGCTAGCTAAACACCTGGCTAGCTAGCTAGCTGCCTGACCAGCTGGTTAGATAATTGGTTAGTTAGTGAGCTAGCTAGCTAGCTAGCTAGCTAGCTACTCAGCTAGCTGGCTAGCCAGCGAGCTAGCTGGTTCGCTAGCTAGCTAGCTAGCCAGCCAGCTAGCCAGCTAGCTAGCCAGTTAGCTAGCTAGCCAGCTAGCTAGCCAGCAGCGTAGAGTCGGGCAGCTTTTCCCGCTGCGCAGAGGGGCCTCAGCAGCAGCAAAAGGAATAAAAGCAGCAGCAGCAATTTAATTTCTTTTTTCTTTTCTTTTCAAAAACTCCACAAATAGAAATACAAAGACCAGCAAAGTCCCAAAACAAAAAAGGGGCCCCCAAGAAATGCACAAAGGGCCTCCTGGGGGCCCCCTGGGGGCCCTTTAAGGTCCCTTTGGGGGCCCCCTGGGGGCCCCCTGGAGTCCCCAAAAGGGGCCCCCTGGGGGCCTTCTGGGGCCCCCAAAGGGGCCCCCTGGGGGCCCCCTGGAGTCCCCCAAAGGGGCCCCCTGGGGGACCTCTGGGGCCCCCAAAGGGGCCCCCTGGGGGCCCCCTGGAGAGTCCCTTCAAAACCCTTTCTCTCGGGTCTTGGGGGGCCCCTGGGGGCCCCCCTAGAGATTAATTGGGGGCCCCTGGGTCTGGGGGCCCCCCTAAGAACCCTTTAGGGTTTTGGGGGCCCCTGGGGGCCCCCCCGGGGTCTTGAGGGCCGGTGAGGGGCCCCTCTAGGGGCTACAGCTCCTCTTCCTGCTGCTGCCGCTGCTGCTGCTGCTGCTGCTGCCTTTGCTGCTGCCTTTGCTGCTGCTGCTGCTGCTGCTGCTGCTGCGGAGCAGGGTCAAAACACAGCAGCCTGCCGTTGCTGCTGCTGCTGCTGCTGCTCCCCTGCAGCAGCGTGAGCATCGCCAGCACCGCCGCCAGCAGCAGCAGCAGCAGCAGCAGCAGGAGCAGCAGTAGCAGCAGTAGCAGCAGCAGGACCAGCAGCAGCAGCAGCAAACTTGCTTCTTCTTTGCTGCTGCCGCAGCAGCAGCCTGGCCCTCAAATTTGCCTTTCGGTCGCCCAGAGGAGCAGCAGCAGCTAAAGAGCCTCTTCTGTCTCCGGCTAAATCGCAAATAAAAAATATAAAAAAAAAAATAAAATAATAAATAAATAAATAAATATATAAATAAAAATAAATAAATAATAATTAATTAATTAATTAATTAATTAATAATAAATAAATAAATAATAAATAAATGTAATTAAATTGAGGCAGTGAGAAGCAGCAGCAAAGAAAATGGAAAAGAGCAGCAGCAAAATGACTTAACAGCAAAAACCAAAAAAGGAAAAAGAAAAAAATTAAAATTAAAATAAATTAAATTTAAATTTAATTTATTATTAATTTAAATTGAATTGTTCATAAATTTAAATTCAATTGTTAATTAATCTGGGTTGAACCTTTTGCTAATTAAATTTGAATTTTTAATTAAGTTCGAATCATTAATTAATTAATTAATTAATTAATTAATTAATTGAATTATGAATTAATTGATTAATTTATTACTTAGTTAATTAATTAACTGAATTATTAATTAATTAATTAATTAATTAATTAATTAATTAATTAATTAATTAATTAATTAATTAATTAATTAATTAATTAATTAATTA